CTGAATCTTGGTGGTATGTGGTAACACTGCTTAAACTTGTTGTTCACTTAGACATACCTGTCTAAGTGAAGGAAATGCAGCAATACTGCAATATAAAGATGAGTGAAATATCTTGCAGGGGGAATGCAAATAACTGAAGGGTAATTTTAAAACTTTGAAAGAAAAATAGTTGTTGAAGACATTGTTCGGATAACTATTAATTGTTAAATTTGCTGGGGGGGGGGCAAGAGGTTTGCTGGCGCTTGACCTCAGTGTCTTTGAACTCAGTGCCTCACTCAGCTTTCTTGCTGAAACTGGTGCTCTACTCCTGAGCCATACCTCCAGCCCAGCTTTTTGCTAGTTATTTTGGAGATGGACTCTCAAGGCCTATTCTTCCTGGGCTGGATTTTAACCTTGATCCTACTTGATCCTCCTAAGTAGTTAGGGTTGCAAGTGTGAATCACCAGCACCTGGCTAAATTTGCTGGTGTTGGTACTTCGGGTTATGTAAGAAAATGATCTGTTCTTACACAATGATGTAATTTTGGAATAAAGGGATACATATATGTATATATGCATATAGTCCTTTTTAAAAAATATGTATGAATATGTCAGAAAAGATGGATAAAACAAATGAGCAAATTGGTAACTCTAAGCAGACATTCAGGAGTTCCTTGTGCAAGTCTTATAACTTCTGTTTGAAGTTTCTGAAAAAAAAATGTCACCCAAATTCAAGGTACAAAATAGGAAGTGAATGTGTAATGTAAGAATTTATTTTTCAGACAGGTAAAAGATTGCTTCTGTGCTGTATATTTTGTTGGAAGAGGGAACTTGAAACAAAACAGTCCCATCAAAGTTGACTGAAAAGCCAGGTGCTGGTGGCTCACGCCTGTGATCCTAGCTACTCAGGAGGCTGAGATCTGAGGATTACAGTTTAAAGCCAGTTCGGACAGCAAAGTTCGTGAGACTCTTCATTTAATCACTGGAAAAGCCAGAAGTAGCACTATGGCTCAAGTAGTAGAGCGCTAGCCTTGAGCAAAAAGGAGCTCAAGAACAGTGTATAAGCCCAGAGTTTGAGCCCCAGGTGGGGCTGGGGGAGTTGACTGGAGCCAGATGCAGTGGCTCATCGCTATAAGTCTTGCTGAGATCTGAGGGTTGAGGTTTGAAGCCAGTCAGGACAGATAAATCTATGAGTTTCTTACTTCCAGTTAGCCAGCAAAAAGCCAGAAGTGGAGGTGTGTTCCAAATGATTAGAGTCCCAACCCTGAATGAAAAAAGCTAAGGGAGTGTGCCCTGGCCCTGAGTTCAAGCCCCAGTACTGACACCAAAAAAAAAAGTCTGAGGCATAGCCCAATGGTAGAGTGTGTGATTAGCAGTATACAGGACTCTGGGTTTGATCCTCTGCAACACACACACACACACATACACACACACACACACACACACACACCATTCATAGCTCCCCAATTCACCAACCTCCAAAACTGGACACAGTATTTTTTTTTTTTTATCGGTCCTGGGGCCTGAACTCTTGGCCTGGGTCTGTCCCTCAGCTCTTCAGCTCAAGGCTAGCGCTCTACCACTTGAGCCACAGCGCCACTTCCAGCTTTTTTTTCCCCTGCTTATGTGGTGCTGAGGAATTGAACCCCCAGGGCCTCATGTATGTAAGGCAAGCGCTTCCCAGCCCCCTTCCCAGCCCCAGTATTTTCCTCATCTCTTAAATGGAGAAGTAAAAACATTCATGTCTCTAAAAGATACCATATAAAGACAGCTTATGTTTATTTACTTATTTTTCTGGTGATAGTAAGAATTCAACTTAGAACCTTGTGCTTGTTCATCTGGCACTGTTCCACTTGGACCACATCCCCACGTCTCAGTCTACCTTTTTTTCTTTTTGTTGGTGGTGGGGCTTGAACTCTGGGCCTGGGTGCTGACCCCATGCTCATCAGCTCAAGTCAAGCACTCTACCACTTGAGCCACAGCACCACTGCTGGTTTTCTGGTGGTTAATTGGAGATAAGAGTCTCACAGACTTTCCTTGCCTGGGCTGGCTTTGAACCTCAGTCCTCAGATCTCAGCCTCCTGAGTAGCTAGGATTACAGGTCTGAGCCACCAAGTACCCTGGTTTAGACAGCCTACTTGTAATAGTACTAAAAGTTAAATTGGGTTGGTTCTGTCATTGCCCAGTGTGAAAACCTACCATCACATGTGATACTGACTGGTTTTTACATCAAAACTATAGCCCTGCTGTTGTGACAGTCTGGGCCACACCTGTCTTTCTGACTTGGTCTCCTGCCTGCTCCTACAAGCAATACACCCCGGCATGCAGCTCATAGACCTGGGTGCAGGGCCTGGGCCTGGGATGCTAATCCTTTTGCCTTTTTGACTTGCTTCTTACACTGCCAGTTTTGCCTGCAGGGTACCCCGTTCTGCTAAAACTATTCATCCAAGACTCACCATCCCCTCCATTGCCACTTTCAGGAGCTGGCCTCTAATCCATGCAGAGTTGCACTGCTTTTGTGCCTGCTGGTGCTCAGTGCTGTCTGGCTTTAGTCAGTAGGCCTTGTTAAGCATCTGGCTGGACACCATGACAGGGCCTGGGGACTCAAAGGCACTCCCAGTCTGGGAGCTTCAAGTGATTTGTGAGCAAATACTCATATAGAGGAGAAAAATGTGCAAAGTGCTGTGCAAGCTCAAACTCTGACATCTTCATCTAAAGGAAAAGTTTATAATGAAAGCCACAGTGAGATACTGTTTCCTGCCAGCCTATGCATACTGGAGATTCTGGCACAAGAATCTAATTAAAGCAGTAAGATAGGACTGAGAAGGTTGCTTAGAGGTAGAATGCTTGCCTAACATGCATGAAGCCCTGCGTTTGATTCCTCATAAACAAAAAGCTGGAAGTGGCTCTGTGGCTCAAGTGGTATAGAACTAGCATTGAGCTGAAGAGCTTAAGGTCAGTGCCCAGCCCAGAGTTCAAACCCCATAACTGATAAAAATGATTGTAGGGGCTAGGATCGTGGCTTAGTGGTAAGAGTGCTTGCCTAGCATGTATGAAGTCTTGGGTTTGATTCCTCAGTACCGTATATACAGAAAAAGCCGCAAGTGGCATTGTAGCTCAAGTGGTAGAGTGCTAGCCTTGAGCAAAAGAAGCTCGGGGACAATGCCCAGGCCCAAAGTTTAAGCCCCAGGACTGGCAAGAAAAAAATTGTAGGACTCCTGAGCTAACCAAGTATATAAATGCCAGGCATGTGGTGCATGTCTGTAATCCCAGCACCAGGGAGGTAGAAACAGGAGCATCAGGAGTTTAAGGCCATCTCTACCCTGGGATACATAGTGAGATTCTGTGTCCAGAGAGAGAGAGACAAAAGGGAGGAAGAAAGACAGAAAGCTACTAGTATGTCTAGAATTGAGGAAAAGGGACAGAGTCTAGGGATAGATGGATAGATGGATGGATGAATGGATGATGGATGGATGGATGGATGGATGGATAGGGATGGGGATGGTCAATATCTGTTCATTGCTGAGGATGAACAGCCTGTGTGTGTTGGACAGGTGCTGTAGCGCTGAGCTAGGCCCCAGGCCTCTTCTGAGTACATCAATTTGTTATCAGTGGTTATGTATATGGGTAGGAAAGGCCCAGAGGCAACTGAGTCTCTTGGGGACAGCAATTTTTCCAAACTGCCTATCCTTAGGGATGGCCAAGATTCTGCGTCCTGCAACCCCCTTGGCTTTACTACATCCTCAACCCCCTTGGCTTTAGTACATCCTCTAGCTTAACAAGGGAGGATCCTGTGTGGTGTGGGGCAGCATTAGCACATGAGGGGTACAGGGAAGCTGGAAGTGAGCTGAGGACCAAGAAGTGTGAATCAGACCGTCCGAGTCAAGTAAGGATCCTCAGAGACATGATTGTAAAGGGGAAAGGAGGAGGGGGAGGAAGAGGAGGCAGAGCACAGAGAGGCCTGGGATGACAGTGGGCAGCCGGCACGGGTGCAGCAGGCAGACTCACACCTGGAATTAGCTTCCACCTGGGAGGAAACTATTGCCACTTTTAATGAGGCTGATTGGAGCCAAGAGGTGGTGGCAGAAACCCAACTGGACGGAAGCCCTGAGTGACGAAGCTAAGGATGACTGGAGCTGGCAGCGGGCAAGAATGCCCTCCTCTTTCCAGATGAGAGTAGGGAAGGTGAAGGGGAGGCAGGTGGGTGGAGGAGCCGCCTGTAGCATCCACATGTGGGGATCTTGAGCATGCACACCTGCAGAAGAGGAGGAGCTGGTGGAGAAGGAAGTGGTGGGTGTAGCTCCCCCTGGAGCAGGACAATGAAGAACCGTGGCTCCTTCCTCCATGTCCAGCAGGAACACTCAGAACGTCCACAGACACGAGGAGAGGTTTTGCTTCTTACAATTAGGATTTAAAATTACATATGTTTGGAAGATCAGAAAAAAAAAGTCATTTGGATTGTCTTCTCTGTCAGCTTTTGCCTGCTGTCAATATTTCTAATACGTATTCACACAGACTGTCTCTGGGAAGAACTTTTGGTTCCAAGTGACTTGTTCTTGCAAAGTGTACTCCAAAAGAACAAGTTGGTTACAAGAGGCAAAGTGAGTGCTTCACAGACCGTAATCCAGGGTGCAGATGGTGAGCAAAGTGTGTGGGTTTCATTCTCCTGAGCCACTTCCAGTGTTTGCAGCCCAGGAGGCAAAACAAATCTGTGAAGGCTGTTCTGGCTCACGTTCTCCTCCTACTGCTTGTAAACTAGTGTACATATTGATGTCATCTCATTTGATTCTATCTTCCTTTTTTTTTTACTATGTCATTACCCCATAAAATATTCTTACACCAATCAAACTTGTCAATAAAGAATTCATTTAGGAGGACTGAAGTAAGTTAATTTAAATGCTGATGGATCATTCTTGGATAAAATGGCTGCACTTGATGAGTTGCTGTCCTGAGAAACTGACTGATGGCGACATGATATGGCTTCAAGGGCTGATCTCTGTTCTTTTCTTTCCATCACAGGAGGTACAGGTAGATACCTTGAAGTTTGAAAACCGGGACAATGCTAAGGGATACCATGAAGTCTTGGAATGACAGCCAGTCAGATCTCTGTAGCAGTGACCAAGAGGAGGAAGAGATGGTTTTTGGTGAAAATGAAGAGGATTTGGAAGAGATGATGGATTTCAGCGATCTGCCCACCTCACTTTTTGCTTGCAGCGTCCATGAAGCAGTGTTTGAGGTCCAAGAGCAGAAGGTAGGTGCATGTCCTGCCTTTTGCTCACCTCTGGCATGAGACAGAAAATGTGTGTTACTTAGACCTTTTTATTGTATTTTAAAAGAGTATCAATCTAGCCGGGCACCAGTGGCTCATGCCTATAATCTTAGCTACTCAGGAGTCTGAGATCTGAGGATCATGGTTCAAAGCTGTCCCAGGCAGGAAAGTCTGTGAGACTCTCATCTCCAGTTAACCAATAGAAAAGGTGGAAATGGAGCTGTGGCTCAAGTGGTAGAGTGCTAGCCTTGAGAAAAAAAAAAATCTCAGAAGGAGTTGGAGATGTGGCTTAAGTGGTAGAATGTCAGCCAGTGAGTGAAAGTATCAAATTGAGTTCAAATCTCAGTCTCAGACTGGAAAAAAAAAAAAAAAAACCTCAGAGATAGCATCCAGGCCCTGAGTTCAAGACCCAGGACTGGTCCTCCATGCCCCCCCCAAAAAAAAATCAATTCGCAACTGATAAGATATATTTGAAAATCAGTACTCCACAAATTTTGTCTACTATACATATTTGTCTGCTGTGAATATTTCAGTCAATATCTCAGGGAGTTCATAGTTTAAAACCTACAGTCACATCATATCAAAACTACACTTAAAAAAATAAAGCCAGGTGCTGGTGGCTCATGCCTGTAATCCTAGCTATTCAAGAAGCTGAGATCTGAGTATCATGGTTCAAAGCCAGCCTGGGTAGCAAAGTTGATAGACTCTTATCTCCAGTTAACCACCAGAAAACCAGAAGTGGAACTGTGGCTCAAAGTGGTAGAGCTCTAGCCTTGAACAAAAGAGTTCAGGGACAGTGCTTAGGCCGTAAATTCAAACTCTGTGACTGACAAAACAAACCAACAAAACGAACATTGTACCAGGCACAGGGGTCATACCTATAATCCAAGCTACTCAGGAGGCAGAGACTAGAGGATCATGTGTTTGTATCCAGCTCAGGAGAAGGTACCAAGACCCTGTCTCAAACAAAATTACAAAACCCAAAATGGCTGGAGGCACATCATAAGTGATAGAACACTTGCTAGGTACATGTAAGTCCCTGGATTCAGTTCTCAATACCACAAAAACAAAACAGTGCTATAAATAGAAGTGCTTGGCTTTGGCCCTACCCATTTCTGCATAGTGCTCACAGGCCTACCCAGAGGACTGTCTTCTCCCTTTGCTTCTCCTAAGTGCTTTGGTACATGAGTTGCTTCCTGTCCCAGTCTATCCTGGGTGCTAACATAACCAGGACACATGGAGCCAAAGTTACTCCAAGTGTCAGGAAGATGCCATGCCTGCCATGTCTTTCCCATCTCAGTAGGACAGGAAATGCTCACCCTAGAAACTGTGGTGATCTGCAGGCTCAACTCTGAAACGGTGGCTCTCCAGCCCTGCATTGGGGTTCAGTCCCTAACAGACATAAAGGGCCAGTTGTAAAGGTAGACAAGATAACCTCAATAAAAGTGTTTGCAGCCTCCATACCATTAGTGGTGCCCTGTCCATGTCTAGCACACACCCTGCCAAGGGAGAAACTAGACAGAAAATAGCAGCTTAGCATTCTAAACTCTCCTTACCTTGTGTGATAATGAACGCTCTCCCAGGAGACATTGTGTCTCACTGCTAAATATAATAGGAGATGGACAGCAGTTACCAAAACAGAGCAGATGCACAGTCCCAAGAATGTCTCTCCTGTTGAGGAGTTCTCCAGCATGAATGATGGAATGCAGCTGCTTCTGATAATGAACGCACATGCAAGGGCTGGGCATGCTGTACCCTTGACAGCAGTGTTTGCTCAGGTTTTTGTGGGCAGCTAGCTCTCAGCCTCTGAAAGGGAAGGCCTGCTTCCCATCTGTAGAGCTGGGCTGCCACAGAGTTTGAGCAGCACCAGCTCTATCAATCTCTTAAGTCCTATTAAATCTATTTTTTATTCATTCATTTTTGGAGACTGCAATTGAAGAAAAGCTCATGATTTTTCACCTGGCTCCCTGTTCCCTACCAAAGAAGGAATTGGCTTTTCCCTGAGGCTAATACCATGCAGCCTGTTAGAACAGATCATGCTTCCGTGTGATGACAGGGTCAGTTAATATTTCTTACATTGCCTTCTAGAACTTAATGGGAAAATGATTTGCAGGTTTTTTTTTGAGGTTCCTCTTCTTTATTTATGATTTATCTGGAAAGAAGCTTGCATATGGGTATGTTTTTGTGAAAGAGGACATTCCATTATGACCTTGTAGGTCTGAAAAAGCCTAGAGGTATTGTTTTCATTTTGTGGTACTGGGCTGGAACCCAGGACTTCATGTGTGCTAGGCAAGTGCTCTAACCCTCAGCTATATCCCCAAACCTCACTAAAGTATTCTGCCACGTGTTAAACATTCTTCATAGTGAGAGTTTTTCCCAAAGTCCACTGGTAGCCCTTAGTTTTCTGGTTAATGCTCCAGATGGTTTCCTTCCAGTGACTTCAGAAGGCAGCGCTCACAGATGTGACCTTGCACGTACTGTGGCGAGTAAGATGTGTCAGACTCTGCACCAGCGGCTTGGGAACAGCAAGAATCACATTCTATAGCTTGTGAACCATGGGGCCTGCAGGCCTGTGGGAGGGGGATAGCAGTTGGTGGCCATGATGTGGACCCTCCATGCCTTTACAAACACTTGGAAATACATCGAGGTATCAAGGAGATGGAGTCACAGCCCAGTACAAGAAAGGCTCTCCTGAGAACATGGTAGCATTGGAGAGGAGCTGTGGGGCTGGGGCTGGCCAGAGGGAACAGGAGGGCTGGTCAGGCAGAGGAGCTGCGGACAGTTCCGGGTGTTCTGCATAGTCTGGCATGAAAGAAGAGGCAGATATAGGTGGTTTGGTTTTTGTTTTTTTTCCCCTCAGCCTCATGAAATAACTCAAATATTACTCTCCCTCTCTCCTGCTCTGTTCTCTCAAAGTGCCTACTAGTAGTTTATGCTCACAAATATACACACGTTTATATATAGTTTTACTACTCCCAAAGAATGCTATCTCTTTGAGATGACAAGTGCCCAATATGAATCCTGAGATAAAATTTTTAGTATAGGAGTTGGAGGCCTGTCTCGGTTGGTGGAGCACCAGCCACTGAGTGAAAGCGTGCTGGTCTTAGACCTAAAAGAAATAAGAACATTTTATTGTGGAGTTTTTGTAATAGAAGAACTATGGCTCTAGGAAACCAAGCTGGCCAGGGTAGTGCATACCTGTAATCCCAGCTTTCAGGAGGCTGAAGCAGGTGATGATTAGCTCATAGCCAGCATTGGCTACATAGCAAGACCTTCTCTCAAAACAGTGAAAAAAACCCCACAACTAAATTAGTGAATATACCTAAATTGGGTGATACATTCAGTGGTAGTCAAATGTTAAATTCCTTTTCTTTTCTCTTGCTGTTTATTTATTTATTTATTTGCCTGTCCTGGCACTTGAACTGAGGGCCTGGGCTTTTTTTGGTCGGGGCTGGTACTTTTTCACTTGAGCCACAGCTCCACTTTTGGCTTTTTGGTGACAAATTAGAGATAAGAATCTCACTGACAGGCTGGGAAGGTGGCTCAGTGGTAGAGCGCTTGCCTTGTATTCATGAGGCCCTGGGTTCGATTCCTCAGCACCACATAAGCAAAAAGAAAAAAGCCGGAAGCGGCGCTGTGGCTCAAGTGGTAGA